CTTAACTATATTGATCATCGAGATGTATTCGAACTAATTCCAATTTATCAAATAATTAAGTCCTTGAACAGACATTTCAAGATCAAATCAGGATATTATTTTCAAAGTGCAACTGGGCAAATAAATTTGAATCAGAATCACTTCTATTGCCTTTGTACTACAGAATACATACTTACTGTTAGGGCTGGGCGATATAGCCAAAAACAATATCACGATAAATATTTTCATATCAGTCGATATCAATAATTATCACGATAAATGTCAAATCATAAATGTCAAATCATAAGTTTAAAGGCAGATTTTTTTCTCCTGGGTTAAAGTTGAAGAAACCAGACAGTTAATTGGTAAATTAAACAACTCTTTATTTTAATAACACAACAAACACTTGCCAAACAGCAGAAACATTAAACAAATCTGTTAGCTGCCCGGTCTGCAACATACACGCGCACTCGCGCAGTATTTTGTGCGCATGCGCATATCATGCGCAAAGCATAAACGTATATATCGAACATTTATCAAACTTGTTTTTTAATTATATCGAGGGAAATTATATCGCGATAATTATCATTATCGAATTATCACTCAGCTCTAATTACTGTATATATTTGGTTTGTGAAAGTGCTGAATTTTCACTGATGAGAGTTTGTTTTAGTTATATTTTTACACCAGGTCTATATGGCAAAGTTCCATACAAGGCCTGGCAAAAGCATTCACCACCTGCCAATAATGTTAATTACTATATATATATAATAAGACCTAACTAATTTAAAATGATGGTCACATTGAACTCTGTTATATGTGAAACTGACATTTACCACCACTAAAACACATATGAAATTAAATTTACCATTTACATAAGTATTCAGTCCCCCCTATGTCAGTAACTGGTAGAAGCAATTTTGGCAGCGGTTTTAGCTTTCTGTAATTTTGAATAGGTCTCTGCCAGCTTCTCACAGTGGGATTCAAGTCCAGACTTTGACTGGGCCACCTCTCCAGCACTGCAGGAATATTTCGAATTGTGGGTGACTCCAGCAGGATTTCCTCTCTGATGAACTTTGCTTTCCCTGTCCCTGCTGATGAGAAGTGTCGCTATTATACGATGCTGCCACCACCCTGATGCCAGCTGGGAATGACGCCGAGTGGGTGACATGCTGAGTTGGGCTTGTGACAAAACACTTTGCATTTCTGACCAAAAAGTTCTATTTTTGTCTGGTCTGACCATAAACCCTTCTGTCACGTCTGCGGTATATCTCACATGCAATTTAAGGTCAGTCTTTTTGAGTAAAAGCTTTCTTGCCATAAATCTGATTTGCATTGGGCTGTCAATGTATGAACAGTATGTATATGACACTATGATGCATGAGATGGTAAGAGACCCATCTTGCAAAACTTTCAAAGTCACTGTTGACTTCACAGTGATGTTCCCAATCAATTTTTCTGCTGACTGATTGAGGTATAAGATGCATATTCTACTTCTTAATAACTTCATCGTACTCGAAGTGATAAGCATCCTTCGAATCCATGCTTCTCTACAAATTTATCCTTGATTTGTTTCAAAAGCTCCCTGCTCTTCATGGTTGATTTGTCGTGTCACTACATGAGTTGTGGTTTGAAATTCAATACCTATCTGAGGAAGCTTGGACACACTTTCTCTAAAGTCAAGTTCAACCGCTTTGATCATGACACAGAAAAAGACCACAACACTAATTTTTGAAATTTCAACAATTCTTTGGTAGTGGAAGTTACTTAAGGTTGCCACAGCAAAATAGGATTGATATTTGCAACTGATCATCATGCGATTTCTTTTTTTAAAAAGTTCATTTCACACTGTCCGCGAGGTTTAGCTTCAGCAGGTTGGAGCAGACGGTGTGTATCTGAAATAGAAAGTTCTACTTGAAAAGTCTCACAAGTGCAAGCTCAGACAGCAACAAAGTAGGGCTACTTTTCAGAGGGGTGAATACTGTTAAAGCGGGCAAGGTGAGCAACCAGAAAAGTCACCTTCAGTACTCTGTCCCTTAGAAGCAGCGTGCAAACAGACAAGTGAAAGACAAGGAAAGCAGCATTTTCTTCTTCTCACTCATCCATCCTTGGTCCAATCCTGCACATGCAATCAGCGCAGATGCACATTAGGCAAGAGCATTTGAATACTGGGACACATGACTGAAAACAGGGCAGGGGCAGAGCGGTGGCTCTGTGGCTAAGGATCTGTGCCTGTGGCTGGAAGGTTGCCGGTTCAAATCCCGCAGCCAGCAGAAGAATCCTACTCTGTTGAGCCCCTGAGCAAGGCCCTTTACCCCAGCTGCTTCAGGGGTGCCGTATAAATGGCTGACCCTGCGCTCTGACCCCAAGCTTCCCTCTCCCCGTCTGCGTATCTCATGGAGAGCAAGCTGGGGTATGCGAAAAGACAAATTCCTAATGCAAGAAATTGTAAATGGATAATAAAGTGATCTTAAAACAAAGTTCTCAACCTGGACAGGAAGCCACTTTTTATTTTTTACCTCATTACATGAGATAATTAAAACAGTTGATTAATATGAACAGGTATTGCCATTTTAATATTGTACCGTTTCCCCTTTTTAATATAAAACCTGTTTTAATACAGGAAATATGTAGCATGACTGAATTCCATATACTTTCAAATTATACAAAGACATATCGGAATTAGCAAAATCAGTATCCATGGGCTCTTGTGTATGAAAGTTCAGTCGCTATTAACTGTCAGGATGTGTTTTTGCAGCGACGTAGTAGATTAGAATCTCTGAGGCCTGTGCAGCATTACAATGCCGTCTTCTTGTATTTCGGGCCGTGAGAAATCTGGGAGAAATATATGCTCCTAATATGTGCTGAAGGTCCAGTTTTAACCCACACGACGATGTGTCTGTTAAGAACTGATGCCAGCGCATCAAAGGTTTTTAATGCAACAACTTGATGTATGGTTTGTCACATTACACACAGGATACTTTCAGAAATCCCCGTAGAGTATCGGGGGAAAAAATGTCAAAGCATTTTTTCTTTCTGTACCTATGCCACAACAATCCATCATTTTGATTTGTGGACTGCCAAGATACATGGTAAGATCTACAGTTGCAGACAGAAGTAGTGGCTCCTTGCCTTACAACCAAAAGCGTGCATTCAATGCAGGGAAGGCATCTGTGCGTGTGTAGTTTGCATGTTCCCCAGTATTCAGTTTCTGCTGACTCTTTTTGGTTTCATATCAAACACAAGCTGGCTAGGCTTTACTGGTTATTCTTAAAACAGCCTTTTTCTCCATGGCCCATCACAGGACAGGCATCTTGTCCAGGAGATGGGTCACCCCAGGCCTGTCTTGTGCTGTGCCCCATGTCTCTATGATTGGTCCAAGTTGTTGAACCACAGGATGTGGAGTTATTTCTACATTTCCTTAATACACTTAAACTAATGAACAGCATTGTAGGAAATGGAGGGTTTGTTTCTGACTGCTTCCTGGTGCAGTGTTATTAAAAGGCATGTTTTTTTTATGTTAGTGAAACCACTGTAAATGTGGCAACATGCATGCTGGTCAGCCTGCGCCTCTGTTCTTGTGAGAACCCCAAAAAGTAACTTCAAATTCAAGCACTAGACAAACTATGCAACGTCTTGTATTTAATGCTGACTTCCTATGCACCTGAAGTGAAGACATTAAAGCAATGCTAATTGTTTTCTCAAAATATCATATATGTACACACAACTACAAATACTAGATTCTACAGTACATATGGTTACACAATTTCTAACCCTACAGATAATGCTCACATAACACAATAGTTTGACATTATAATACTATAGAGTCTGGCATTATTACCTATTAGTAAAATTAAAATATGAGATACAAGATGATACATTACTTATGTTTGAAAAAGTTGTATTCACAATGAACAATGACATAAAGCCTGCATTATAACATACAATTCATGTACTGTATGTATACATCTGAATGCTGTCACCATCTGGATTATAATTTCTGTCACATACTGGATGTAATTGTTGCACTGAGTGAAGAACACAGCTTTGCTTCTCAAATTATCTTGGTGCCATTGATATCGCACTATAAATATTAAGCAATTATTAAGATCAGCAATTAGCTACACGTACAGTCTCTAAACAATATTAATGGAGAATCTCAAAATCACAAAATAAAAAAGTTCATATTCTGTGTTATAATAAATATATGAAAAGGATTTAAAATAAAAATGCAACTAATACGAATATTAATGTTGTTTACCTCTTGCAATTACCACTTGTCGTAAAACTGTATTTCTGTCTGTGATCGCGAGAGAGGCCCCTATCCCACTCATAAAACAATATGCAGTAACTGTGCATTATAACTCACAGGCCACGTTAATATTTCAAAATGCATCATAAATAATATATACATTCCCCACAACACAACGGAACCATGCACTACAAACACAGCTTCCCAGTTTTAAATCTTTATGAGATCCACAATAACATTGGAATAACAAACCCCCAAAGGTGCGAGCGTGTGCCTAAACGATCTTTATAACACATATAACCAACTGCAACAATTATTACATAAAAATATACGGCAGGTGAGATACGTAACATTTTAGGTCCAAACGAGACAATTACGTTAAACAATTATTTTAAAAAACCATCAGGCTACAACTTAGACGCAAAACACCCCCTGCCAATACAACTGCAGCAAGCTATGAGGAAAAAAGCAAAAAAAAGAGACCTGCAGGCCTAGTAATAAACATTGGAACTGCACAGTACTACTGAAATATAAATAACATAATTGCCATCACCGATGCAAAAGCACATGATAGGAAAAGAAATTGCATCTACTTCAAACGCTCAATATCAAATATAACGATGTGCATTTTCGTGCATCATCCCTTCCCCTGCACTGCATCCTCACGATCCATATTTACAGCCGGTCTTTCCTGAAGATCAGCATCCAGAAATCTCCGCACACTGCCCGACAGTCCCCAGCCACCCTGTTCCCTGTACCCGCCGCATACCTCCTCAGGAATGTCCTGGTGTCCCCCGGGGATCCCTCCAGAACCGATGGGTTCGAGCCCCGCGCCCAGCTCGGCCAGTCCCGAATCCCGCTCCGGATCTCGGTCCATGGCGTCTCCATTGAAGACGGGCGGTGGAGACTCGGCGCTGCTCAACGCCGCCATTTTAAACTGCGAGAAACTGAGTGGAAAATAATAGAGAAAAGAAATAAAGAGAGAAACCGGAGGGGGAGACAGAGAGAGAGAGAGTCAAAAGACGGCAACAGCGTAAGGGTATACGGGGATAGTTGGACTGGCAATTTGCAGATATTATGTAGTACCTTTTTATTACGAAATACTTCATAATAATATTATTATAGTATAAAATAGATCTGCGTAGAACTTGGACTTTGGGAAAACATAATACTGTTATTTACTTGATTCTCGAACTTTTAATATTTTACAGTAGTTTCCCGTGACAAACAAAACTTTTAGTATACTTCCTGTTAGTAATTGTAATATGGTGGTGTACTTCTAAAATAAAATAAAAAAGTTTTTCTTAGTATGAGTGAAAACTTATTTGTTCTGTACAGACAGGGCAGTCTAAAGCCATAAAGCACATATACAGTATATATCAAGTAATAGATTTATTTCATGCTGAAAAAAGAAAGAAACACAACGTTTCAGCCGTGGAGCCTTCTTCAGGTGTGCCTGAAGGGCCACACAGTGTGCCATAGGGACAGACATGCACACACTTACACCAGGGCCAGTTGGAAGCTCATTAACCTACCAGTATGGCTTTGGGATAGACCTGTAGTCACAGGGTTTCTATGGCAAGGAGACATGGGGGCTCTAGGTGTTGAACAACGTGCAAAGCGAACAAGTACTGTAGGTTCTCTTGCAAGCACAGCACTTTTTCACAGGGGCACCCCCCACCAACACTCTCTCAGGGCGAGGCTTGAGGGGCATCTTCTGGCGAAAGCAGGGTTCCGAGATTCCCACATCGAGAGATAGGAAGGAAACGCCCATCACGCCTTCATCCAGAGACCGTACCCCTCCGTCCCCAGAGCCTCGGTGTGCTTTGGGTCCTGGCCTGAGTGCACGGATGCTGCCATGCTTCAATCTAGGGCCCCGCGTGCCCTCACGGGGCAGTCCCTGCCACCTCCCACCACAGCCGGCTGCCTGGATGAGCGCTGAGCGCGGTCGCTCTGCCTCCAGCTGGCGGGGGCTGCTTGTCCATCCCCATGTGTTCCATAGGCGCCTCTACCTGGTAGAAAAATAATTTTAACATTGTAGACATGCTATAGGCACTGTTAAATGTGCATGGCAGAGAAGGGCCCTTCTGGTCTGCTGGGCCGCATGTGACAGGCCAGAAGGGCCCTTCTCTGCCATGCACATTTAACAGTGCCTATAGCATGTCTACAATTTCAAAATTATTTTTCAGTAATTTAGTCAAATGTCTGGATTTTTTTCTCTGCTTTGACATTCTAGAGTGCTTTGTGTTGATGGGTGGCAAAACATTCTCAATTAAACACATCATGGTTCCATGCTGTAACACAAAGAAATGTGAAATTCTGATTCTGAAAAATGTGAAAAAGTCCAAGGGGGTTGTAGACGTTCTATAGGCACTGTACCAGGTGACAAGTAAAGCCACTAGTCAAAGTAAAAGGTTTTGGCTTCCCAAAAGGTGCCTAACCAAGGCATCCCATGTGTGCTTCAAACCGCAGCCTCTCTCAGCACCTGAAGGATCACAGTTTGCTGTCAACTTGCCACCGTTCCCAGTTTTCTTAGGGGATCCTGTCTCTCAGCTAGTGATTTCCAGAGGACCACTAGTCCTTTAGCATTAGCCTTTTTCTGAACTGGTGACTTCAGTGTTGCTGTTGACAGTGATGAAATCAAGCTTATGGTGAAGGTTAGCACCCTTTGGTGTTGCTTTTGATCCTGTTTTGTCATTTGAACTGTTAGGAATGTCACACGTTTATTGATCTTGCACCACAGCAGACCACAGCCCCATTAAAACCCTTGCTCTGCCTATGTGATGCTGAAACATTGGTAATGCCTTACTTGAAGTGGTAACTATTTTCTAAGGCACTAAAATGGCTTCAGTCTGCCCAGAATCCTGAAGCTAATGCACTAACTAAAAGTACTTGCCATCAGCTCATCACTCCTATCCTCTGTAAGTTGCACTGCCTTTCAGTGAAGTTTTGAGTGGACTTTAAGGTTCTCCTGCACATGTACTGTATAAGGTACGTAATGGTCTAGCTGAAGATTATATTAAAGTTTTATTGCATGACTACAGTCTGACTCTTAATTTGAGATCTGTTGATTCATACCTTCTAAGTCTGTGGAAGACTGGCTGAGAGAGACATGTACAGTATAACATCTGTGGAGTTTCTTACCCAGATTCAAGAGAAACTTAGCACCTGCTGATGCTTTGTAAACCCACTTAAACATCTAGATTTTGACTAATGCTTGGCTTCACAAAACTTCTGGCAGTACTGTAAGTTTTTGTTTGTTTGTGCTGTGCGTTGTGTGTGCACTACTTTGAATTTCTTGAAAACATACATTAAATTATATAAATAAAAAATTGTAGTATATTACATATACTTAACAATGCATCAGTAAGGGATGAAAACAATTATCTATTTTTTAACATTTGGTATTTTTTAAAAGGGCATATCATACAGTACACCTCTTATTTATACAGTACATATACAGTGCTGTGTGTACATGCGCTTACTGTACATACAGTGTACAGTATATGTTGGTATATTTGGGTTCTAAACATGTACAATAGGAAAGAAATACTATCTGGCTTTTTAATTTGGTTATTTTAAGTTTTACAGTCTGATTTTGAAATCTTTGCAGTAGCAAGCTTTAATGTTCTTTACTCTGATGTTTCACAACAATTTACAAAAGCTGATATAGTTGTATGGATCACCTAATTTGACTCATATGGTTGATACAGTAAGTGGCTTCTTTTAGAAATTTACAGGATTTCAAAATCCATACTGGTCAGACTTACAAAAGAACACACAGAAGCAAAATCTACATATGGGCCAAATGGTCTACTTAAATTTGTAACCTTTCTAATATTCTTAGGTAAATAAAAAGAAACACATTAGAAATTCAAATAGTTCAGGTGGGTAGCTGTGTCAGCATGCGTAGGCTGCAAAGGAACAAGTAATAGGTTTATTCCATGCTGAAAAGAAGAAGAAAGAAAACACAACGTTTCAGCCGTGGAGCCTTCTCCAGGTGTGAAGAAGAAGGCCGAAGAAGGCACACCTGAAGAAGGCTCCATGGCCGAAACGTTGTGTTTTCTTTCTTCTTTTTTTCAGCATGGAATAAACCAATTACTTGTTCCTTTGCAGAAATTCAAATATCCTCTCTTGAAAGGTGTATGCAATTTTTTCATCTCAGCTAGCTGAATTTCGTTTGGGCACAATCAAAAACCATTCACAATTTCACAAGATAAAAAACCAAACGTTTAAGCCGTTGAGTCATCATCAGGATGTTTTGTCATCTTAAATTTCTTTAATTAAAGTTCCAAGACATTTACCGGTTCACAATTCAAGGAAAAAAATAATGTTTTAAAAATGCTCAAATGTTCAATAATGTTGTGTAATAATGTTCCAGCAGTATTGGAACAATCCAGTTTCATTATTATTGTGTAATAATAAATTCCAGCACTAAATCTGTGGCCAAGGTCAGAGGTCCATGCAAAGAGTCTCCATGCTGAGTGTGGTGGCATTGTATTGTATTTATTAGTGTATACACTGTAATACAGTACCACTATAGACAATATTGTGACATTATTGATCACCATAGCTTCATATGTAGTTTGCCGTAATATTACAAAACATATCCTAAAATTTTACCCTTGCTTTTTTATGGAACCAGTGCATGTCATTTGAGTCATGAAAATAAAATGTATTAGTATTCAACTTTGTTAAGCAGATGTGTGTGAGTTTCTTTTGGGTCAAGGTGTAAGCTAATAAGATAAAAACCAACAAATCAGACAATTTTAACAATGCTAACAAAACAGACAAACCGGACAATATCCATGCCTTCTAACTGTTCTTTTAATGAACGAACCCACTCTAAAATTATATTGTTTGATATGGAAGAAATATGTTCCAAACAGGAGGGATGTGTTGTAGTCGCCACAACAAAAAATGATGAAAAAAATGATGAGGCCACACCACCAGTGAAGGACTCTAATTAAATCTTCTTTGTGAAGTTACAGCTGCAGAACATTTTCATCTAGTATACAAAACATTTTACCAGAACAACCCAGACTTGAGATGAGGCCTTAATGTAGACCAATATATCTTCATAATTCCCAAAATTCCTTTGTCTACCAGGAAGCTGACAATCAGCACGACAGTGAAATGGATAAAGATGTATTGTACACTGTTAATAAGAAAATAAATCTCACTAATAATAAATGTAATTTATAATGTCTATGCACATCTTTCATTCACATCATAACAATACAAAAGCAAATCAATTTTAAATACAGATAATGATAAATTATGATATGTGTAATGATAAATACACAAAGGATTAAATTAAAAACAATTAGATAAAGACATTCTAAAAGTTAAAAGTGAGGTTTTTAACTAAGATTTAAAAATCTGAGCAAACTGTATCTATGATAAACATGAGTAAAGATTTCTAGAGTTAGGGGCAGCACATTGAAAACCTCAATTCATGAATGCTAACAGAGATGAGAGTTGAGAATACATTGATGAATTTCATCCATAAATTTAAGATTTCAAATAGGAGTACAGGGAGTAAAAGTAAGTAGGAGTAAATCTTCAGAAAAGATGGGTCGAGCCCATTCATAGTTTAATATGTTTATATAATAACATTGTTTAATGATAAGCATCTTAAAATCAACCCAGTACTTTACTTTTAGCATCACTTTATAGGTTTATAAGATTTCTACTGAAGACCCAGAGAGCTGCATTTTGGGCATAAATCATAGAAAATTTAATGTTGCACCAAAAAGTATTAATAAACTTTTCTGTTGCAGATGTGGACTAGTAATATTTCAAGCAAACAATGTACTGGAAATGGAAAAATGAAACCTTGTTTCAAAAAAGGTTACCCAGGTGTGTTCCGTGTGTCATACAGCTGTTACTCGGGACGGGACATGGGGAGCAGTTTATCCAAGCAAGATACCCCTACTATTACAAGATCCCCATACTATTACA